CACACACACACACACACACACACACACACACACACACACACACACACACACACACACACACACACAGACACACACAGACACACACAGACACACCTCTCTTATTATGCAATTTGACTGCTATACCTCCATCCTGACCACTAGAGGTCCTCTTTTTGCAGATTTTCGATCAACTTGACAGCATAACAAGTTATCCTGGTCTTTCCAGTTAGGGTGCACAGAAGGCCACACACTGAAGTCTGGACGGGATGGACGGAGAGCGACCCAGGCGAGGCCGAAAGAGCAGGCGGTGGAAAGAGGGAAACTTGTTGAAAAGAAAGAGAGAAAGTGAAGACATGAAAATCACCCTGCATAAAAGAGGGGGGAAAAGAGCATAGGAAAGTAGGAAGGCAGTGCGGTAGTGGGGGGGGCGGGGGGTTGGAGCCCACTGCGTTTCTTACCAGTTCTGGTACTTGGGAAGGCGCTTCACCATGCCGTCTCTCTCCAGCCCAGCAAAGATGTCCGCAATTTCTTCCTGGGTGCCGCTCACAACGTGCACCTTTGCCGGCTGGCATTCATCCACTGCCTCCGAAACAAACCTGGCTACTGCCGGTGGCATTGAAGGCAGCGAGGAGGCAGAGCGGGTCCATGCCACAATCCCCACTCTGCTCTGCCTGCAAAAGGTTTTTTGGGATGTTAAGTTGACAAAACAAAAAACCAAAAAAAAAAAAACAAATGCTCCTTAGCCAAAGACTTAAAGAGCTCCAAACTTAATACTGCACCACATTAAAAACGGATGTTTTGTGTTGTTTTTCCATTTGACCTAAAGCTTCATAACATGAACTACCCAAAAGGATGATATTTTGACCTATCATAGCTAACTGATGAACCTCAAGGAAAAAAAATAAATATTAGGTTCAACCACCACTTTCCAGATTCATTTTATAGGTGTAACCACACACACACGCACGAAGCACACGCACGAAGCACACGCACGAAGCACACGCACGAAGCACACGCACGAAGCACACGCACGAAGCACTTCATGTTGCAAAATAAGATCAGCAGAAAAATAATCAGTACAGCTGAGAAATGACCTTTTGCCCAGGAAAGCGCATGTAATGACAAAATGAACAAAGACCACAGTTCAGCAAGTTTAACAGCCCCCATTAATGAATGATTACCACCTTCACAGAAGCACCCATTCACAGAAGTCTTATTCATCCAATTTACTGTCCTGCTGTCTTCTTTATTCTCTTAATCACCATTACTGATCCTCCCACTTATTCTTTTCACTAGCAGCATTTATACTACCTTCACCCAGCTTGTTGAGTGAAATTAAAGCAGGTAATACTTTATGCACACTGGTCACCGTTCATCTGCGCCACAGAATTTCGGCCCAAACACAACTGGTTGCAACCGCTATGCCAAGTAGGCAGTATTTACAGGGGTACTTCCAGTGAAACACCACATGAGAAAACACACTATCCCTTCTCACTGGATGGATAAAGAAAAAAAAAAAAAAAAAAAGATAAGCCATCAGAATATACTCCCTTTCTAAACTGAGCTTTGCTCCTGTGTTCCTTTTTTTGGTTTTTTCCAGGGAAGTGCATGGATTAGATAACTCACTCCCAGAAGGTGACCAATTACAGCTCTCCACTAGTAGCCACACCCACAATCTGACTCCTGTGGTCCGTACTACGAAGCGGGGTTACTGGCATATCGGGGTAACTTGTCAGATTTAAGGTACCACAGTTTAAATGGACTTCATATTCGTTTACTTACATTTTGCCCGGACTACCTTAAAATTAGTTAATAAGTTACCCCGATAAGCCAGTAACCCCGCTTCGTAGTACAGGCCCCTGATCTTACAACATTGGCATGAATTATCCACATCCCAGTCCAATTTCTTATTGGTATACATCAATCTTCATAATACACACACTGAAAAACATGTCACAGCTTTTGGCAACAATATGATTTTGCCTAAATCAAAACAGATCTGAAATTCAATTTAATCAATTTTCCTTTACAAGATTTCACTTCCTGTGGTTATTATTAATAATGACAATTCTAAACTGAGCGATAAAAGTGGAGATCTTCGTGTTTTAAGTGCCACCTGAAAGGCCCGAAAGCTAAATGTAAAACAAAAAAGGTTAGCATCTACAATGACAACAGCAGAATAACTCAAATAGCCAAAGCCACGACAGAGCAGACATAACCATTCCAGCCTGTAACCCGACACCTTCCGTTCGCACTCTCCTAGGCACCAACACGTGTCTCATGAGGGCTAGAAGTAATAGGTGAGGTAGTGATTGAGAATTAAAGAGAGAGAGAGAGAGAGCGGGAGAGCAAAAGCAAGGAAGAGACCCAGCACAGCATATTACATCATCTTTATGCAGGGCAGGCAGAAACTGCAAAATAAGAGAACTCCATTTCAATGTGGGTGGGTGGGGTCTGTAATTGGTGGGGTTTGTTTTGAAGATGCACAGCATAGCTGATTACATCAACTTAAAATGTGTTGTTAAAAGCAAAAAACAGATAAGACTGACCAATAGCACAGAAACAACAGAAGCTGTACAACTTCACAACACTATTCAAAAAGTGCACCCTCTCAACCCATCAATGCAATCCATTCCAAAGACAGATAATCAGAACTGCTCATTTGACTCTTACTCAGCAGTTACACAATATTTTAATACATTTTAAGCCATTACATTAACACAGTTAAAGAAAATGTGGAAAGTAACAGGTTTACATAGTATATAATGTTATAAACAAGGGCGCTTGTAGTCATAACGCAAAAAGACAAGGGATTCAAACGGTGATGTTCCGAAGCCAGTTCTAAATAAATTGCCATGTATACACTAAATAGTTAAAGATGGATTAAGGAAAATCCACCAGATAAGATAGTATAGTTATATAGATATATTTATTTTAGTATACACTTCGACAAATACCTGCAAGAGAAATTCTCTCTCTCTCAAACACACACACACACACACACACACACACACACATTTATATACAACAAACATATATACATATAAACCATGACGTCAGAGTTCAATCACTATATACAAATCAAAAAGTAATATTTACGTTTTCGACGATGTGCGCCATTCAGGACATATCACAATAAAGACACTCACCTTCTTAGAACTCCCATTAAACGGAACGACATTTTTATTATTATTTAGGCGTTAGGTAAATTTTTTGACTCCTAAAGGGATCCAAATGGTGGTCTTCTCGCACGTATTAAAACATAAAAAAATTAAATAAAATGACGAGTCTGAGGAGCGGAATCTCGCCGTTAAAAACACGTGTAAAAACGCCTCCGAAATAAAATATTATTCACAGCTTTGTAGAAACCGCAGAATTCGCCTAAAACGTAGTGCTACAGAACGGGCTGTGAAAGAAATTCCCTGAGCAGGCACAACGAAACAGAAATATTAAATAGAGTTATTACAAAGTGAGTAGGTTACAGCTTACTAGAAGGGAACACAAAGACAGAGGTAAGGCACACGGCTCATTTACTCATGCAGCGCAGCCTGATGCCGGCCGCGTTCCCCGTCCTCCTGCCGGAACCGGTTTCCCTCTTGCCCTGTTATATCTCGCAACCCGAACTTTGACACCGTGTCTTTGAGCTCCATGCAGTCATAATGTAGTTCCCGTGTCAATGCGATCATATATTCAATAACATCATGGAATTGAAAGTTTCCCCAGAAACCACTACTGCGGAAGTAAGGGTGACACTCGCGGGTCAAACCTACTAATGCGGTAAACGCTGAATTACTATGACGGAGGCGATTAATAAAGAATGCGGAAGAATATCCTCAAACTGTCGCTTCATGACCCGCCTCTTACTGTGAAGGAATATACCAATGCCACTATAGCCGGAGCACCTTTTCAAATTTAAATAATGGGCGGGAAAAGGGTGTGTACTTCGTGCACTACGACTATTTGTGTATTGAGCAATTTGGAAATGACTGGACACAGCTTACTAATTCTCTGTGTATGGCAGTTTTTTATGTTGTATTTTGGAGAAACGTATATTTACCTTGTGAAAAAGTTGCCTAGAGACATAAAACAAGGAAGTTACGTCTGAAATGATTAAAGGCAAACTACGTAAAACTCTTTTGTTAATCACATACCAGAGTCCGTAAAACCTGGATGACTTATGGTACTGCGAGAAAGACTAGCTTGTCAACATGTCAGACGTAAGTAACAGGTAACATATACGCTATGCTTTTGGAAAACATTTTCAGATAAATTCATTCCCAGCTTTGGCATGAGGTTTAAGATGTGGGTAACACAATATAGTATTATACTGCTACTTACGTATTAATCAACCACAAAGTCTTAGGTACATGTTAATTCATCATTAATGAATTGTGATGCATATTTAATTTCAAGCATCTACAATATTTGATATTATATCTGTCAATTCTTTTGTGAACTACTATAGGAACAAGTCATGAATAACGAGTTAAATAGTGATCTTACATTTGTTCATTATTAATGAATCAAGGTTCATCTGTCATCCCGAGCAGTTAATATATTGTTGTATATCTAATTCTGTAAACCTTTGTGAACTACTGCAGGAATTACTGAAGAAATTACCAAGAAACTCCTGAAGGAACAATTAATGAAAAATACAAGAGATACTGATCTCATGTTTGTTCATTAATGAATCATGATGCATCTTTTATGTCGTACCAACTATATTTGTTCATGATTTGTTCAGTAGTAAATAATTTTTTACTAAGTATTTGTGCCCTATCAAGTAAAGTGTTACTGAGAAATGTAAATAACTGATAAAAGTAACTAATAAAGGCATGTGTGTTATCATTGTTGTAACAATGTATTCTTTGAATGAGTAATCCCAAAATTTTCCAAATTGTAGTCATTGTCAGTAGCATATGATTAACAAACTCAGACTTCAGTAATGTTCTGGGGGGTATTCCACAAAGCAGGACTTAATCATTAGCCAGATAAGCTAAATGTAAAGATTGTCCAATAGGAATGTCACCTCTGTTGCTTTTGGACAGTTTTCACGTTTGGCTTAAGTTACCCAGCTAACTGGGAAATCTTGCTTTGAGGAACACCCCACGGTCTACCTACTCTACAGCAACTTATAGCAACTTTCTATCACTTTGTGCCCAGGGGTCAGAGGTCAGTGACTGACAATCAAATTAATACAAGCATCCCAACATGAGTTCAGGAAATATTCTAAGCCGCGTGTTTTGCCAACTATGTATGATCCATGGTATGTTCGTGTTCATTTCAAAATGTTCTTTCATGGAACCCTATATCATCTTAAGGGTATTATAACGTTTGATTAGTACTTTATTATCATTTTCCATATATTTAACAGCAGCACTTTTCATTTTTTTCATAAATTTTCTGTTTGTGGTTTTACAAAAGTCAGAAAATATATAGATTTTTTTCCCCCCAAGAAACTAGACTACACCGGACTGTCTTTTTACATGCCAGCCATCAGAAGGATCGCTGTAAGTAGGCTCTGCTGACGTGCTAAATATTATGGCAAGTTTTGCAGAAAAGGTTCTTTTCAGAAGCTCAGCCTGTTTTCTAATCCCCTTAATGACACTTGGCTTTCAATTACAGCCGCATTACTCAAACATGACCCACGTCATTAAAGACACACTCTTTTATGTTGAGCAGATCTTTACATTCCTCTGGATAATTTCAATGTTCTTTGTTGAATAATAGATCATTTTAGTTATTAAAGGCACATATTTGGATGAACCTCTGATTGAAACTTACAAACCTGAGACCTGACTATTCCAGTACCAAACTGCTCTTTAATTGATGAATGCAGGTTCAAATGGGTTCACTGCATTTAAATTTATTGTTTAAATGTATTGTATTTAAATTATTACGTTTCTCTGCCATGCTCTGTGTGTGTAAAATGTTTACTAGACTGTAACCTGTAAACAGAAAGATAGAAATATCTAAATTTCTAGATATTTTAAGCAGATGAACATTCAGGTTCAAGGAAATGCCAACAAGGACAGAAGAAAAAGAGAGAGAGGTGAATAGACACATTCATTAAAAACACAACACTATAGCAACAGAGAGAAGTATTTCCAGGCACATGGATTACAAGGTCCCCTCTCCATCAATGACTCTGGGTATAATCAAGCACCCTCTTCTTCAGTACAGGGTCGTGGGCAGCCTGAAGATCATCCGACGAAGTACAGGGAGTGGTCAGGATAGACGTCACACCAATATCATTTAGTCAAATGCTGGAATTCTCAATTTTTCTGCCTGAGGTAAGTTTTGTGTGCATCTATAGGTGACCTATGAAATGAGTCAAATTTTCCATTAATTATTATTTAAAACTTTGAAAGTATAAAAACCATTAAACATACATGACAAACATGTAAAAAACAAGGAAACAGGAATGGATAAAAAAAATAGATTTTGTGCTGTCGGAAATAACAGCATTGTATTATCCAGACAGCCCTGCCATTAGACTATCTAAGCCATACTTGTTCCACACTCACTAACTTGCATGATTTCTAGGAGCACTGGATGGATCAGTCATGACCAATCGCACGAACAGTGTGAAGTATTCTTGCTTTCATGTGCACTTCTGAGCGTTCATTCTTGCTTTCCTGTGCACTTCTGAGCGTTCATTCTTGCTTTCCTGTGCACTTCTGAGCGTTCATTCTTGCTTTCCTGTGCACTTCTGAGCGTTCTCTTCTCCCTGCCTCTCATTCTCCCCTGCCTGCCCTGCCTGATCCCGTCCTGCTCACCTGCCTGTTCTGCCCCGTACTCCAGCCCTGCGTCTCCTGTCTGCCTGTAGGATTGACTTCTCCAGATACCAACCTGTCTTGCACTGTGTCCCTGACTACATTTCTGCCTCCTGGTTGCCTCTTCCCTCCAATGAACTCCCCTGTCTTCAGCATGCGGGTCTCCTGTCCTTCCTGTATTCCTGTCGTGACAATCACCTGGAATTGGGAAAACGAAATACAATTTCTACAATGACTGGATGCGTGACCTGAAAATGTGAAAGTTAATAAATGTGTTTTTACCTGAATCTTTGTATTTGTATCATTTATAGTTTATATATGTTTAAATATTTATATTATATCTATTAGGGGTGGTATGGTGTTGCACTGGTCAGCACTGTTGCCTCACATCTGGATTCAAGTTTCCACCATGGTTCCATGTGTGCGGTGTTTGCAAGTTCTCTCTGTGTCGTTTTGGGGTTTCCTCTGGGTACTCTGGTTACCCCCCACAGTCCCAAAACATGCTGAGGCTAATTGGAGTTATCAAGTTGTGCATGTGTGTGAGTGTGCCCTCTACGGTGGGTTGATGCCCCATCCTGGGTTGTTCCCTGCCTTGTGCCCATAGAGTCTGGACCCCCCATGATCCTGATTAGGATAATTAGTTTTAGAAAATGGATGGATTATATTCATTTCTGTTATGCAATATGGGGCATTCGTGCATTATATGGGATGGGTGCAAACTAATCCTCACATAGTTGCACAACTACAGTGACGTGTTCATTTTGCACAATAAAAAACTGAATAAAAATGAATGTGTTTATTGACAGAATATACAGTCAACAAGGACAGTATTTACAATTCAAAACACTTTATTTGTCCCCAGAGGTGCAATTCAAGGCAAGCAGGTAAGCAATTAAATGTGAGAAATTTCATCAATGCACACACACTTACATGCTAACTATATATATCATATATCATATATATCATCATATATATATATGTATGACAATATACTGACAATCTAAAACAATCTTTAAAAACATACATACATACACAAGTTGAGTACATACACACACTGAGCTAGGTGGAGTATCAAAACAATGGGAAAGTTTATTTAATTTGTGTGGCAAGGTCTCATCTTTTACATTCTGTATGTGGATAACTGTAGTGCCTATGTTAGTGTTGGCCATCCATCCATCCATCCATCCATCCATCCATTATCTGCTGCTTATCCGGGGTCGGGTTGTGGGGGCTGCAGTCTAAGCAGGGATGCCCAGACCTCCCTCTCACCAACCACCTCCTCCAGCTCCACTTGGGAAATACCAAGACGTTCCAAGGCCAGCTGAGAGATATAATCTGTCCAGCATGTCCTGGATCTGTCCTGGGGCCCTGACATGCCCTGAAACACCTCCCCAGGGAGCCATCCAGGAGGCGTCCTAAATAGATCCCCGAACCACCTCAACTGGCTCCTTTAGCTACGGAGGAACAGCAGCTGTACTCTAATTTTGTAGAAAACTGTTTTCTAATCCATGATCTCATTCTTTCAGTCACTACCTAGAGCCCATGATCACAGGTCAGAGTAGGAACTTAGATCAACTGGTAAATCAAAAGCTTCACCTTCCATCTCAGCTCCTTCTTCGCCACAACAGAACAGTACAGCGTCTGCATTACAGCTGATGCTGCACTGACCTCTCTTTCGATCTCCCGCTCCCTGATTCCCTCACTCCTGAACAAGACCCTGAGATACTTAAACTGCTCCGCTTGGGCCAGCAACTCATTCCCCTCCAGGAGAGGGCAATGCACCTTTTCATGGTCAAGAACCATAGCCTCAGACTTGGAGATGCTGATGCATTTCGGCAGCCTCATGCTCAGCTACAAACCACCCTAGTGCATGCATGATGAGGTCACCAGCCTACGATGCTAGTAGGATCACTTCATCTAGAAAAAGCAAACACTCAAATCCTGAGGCCCCCCAAACTGGACCCCCTTCACCCCTTGGCTATGCCTAGAAATTCTGTCCATAAAAGGTATGAACAGAATTAGTGACAATGGGTCCAACACCCAAAGGGAGCAAGTCTGACTAATGGGCAAACTGTCATGAACCCTCCAGTATCCTTGCGAGGGTAAAGAGTTGGTCTAGTGATCCATGGCCTGAACAGAAGAGTTCATCATGGATACTGTCGTTTTAGTAGGATTCTCAGTTTGTGTGAATGGCTTCTGACACAAAGTAAAGTGTTGAATTTTTGTTTTATCGACAGTTTTAACTTTTTTGAGGGAATGTAGTACATCTTTTAAACATTACCTCCAGAAGTTTCAGCCAGTGCCACCTGCCCAGCTCTCAGAGTTGGTCTCTCAAATGAATGTCACTTACTGCCCCTTAGACATTAAACCATCTTGTCTTTTTAAGGAAGTTTTCATTACAATCTGTCCCCTTATTTTGGCCATAATTAATAGCTCATTAACTAGTGGAGTTGTTCCTTCCAGTTTTAAGCATGCAATCGTGCAGCCTCTATTAACATAACCTAGCTCAGACCCTAATAACCATAAAAACTACAGGCCCATCTCCAAGCTAACATTCATCTCCAAGATACTGAAATAAGTTGTGTTCTCACAGATCACCTCTTACTTGAACAAGTCTAAAATCTTTGATAAATTCCAGTCTGGCTTTAGAGCTCTGCATAGCACAGAATGTGCCCTGCTGAAGGTAGCGAACAACATTTTTCAGGTTCTTGTGCAGTTTTAGCCCTGCCTGATCTTAGCGTGGCTTTTGACACAATTTACCATGACATTCTTTTAAAACGCTTGGAGGCAGAAGTTGGTTTGCAGGCCCCAGTGTTCAAATGGTTTACTTCCTACCTGAGAGAATGAAGCTTCTCAGTCAGAATAGGTAACTGCTCCTCATCCCCCACCCCCATGAAATGTGGCGTTCCCCAAGGTTCGGTCTTAGGACCTTTTATTCTTTCTATACATGCTCCCCCTTGGCTCTATCTTCGAAAAATACATTTTTGTGTATCATTGTTATGCAGACAACACACAGTTCCAGCTGATAGCACCTGTTCTCTGAAGAACCTGCTCAACTGCTTGGATGATATTAAATACTGGATGGCTTCCTTCAACTAAATGAGAAAAAAAACTGTATTATAAAGTAATTATATTTGGCCTCCCAAACTCTGTCAGTAACCTTAGCAGCGCACTTGGTCCCCTGTCCGTATATTTGCATAATGAAGTTAAAAACCTCGGTCTATTTTTGGATACGTCATTGAATTTTAACAAACAACTCAGCAGTGTTGTAAGGTGCAGTTTTTATCATCTCAGAACTTAAAGCCAAGTTAAAGCTGATTTTATCTCATACGGACCTGGAAATAGTTATCCATGCTTTTATCGCCTCTCAGCTTAACTGCTGTAATTCCCTGTATAAGGGGTCATCCCGTTTTGCAATTTCTAGACTCCAAATGATTCAAAATGCAGCTGCTAGACTCTTAACTGGAACAAAGAAAGGACAGCATATCACTCCTGTTCTAGCTCATTTGCATTGGCTACCTGTGAAATACAAAGTAAATTTTTAAATGTTGCTGTTTGTTTTTAAAGCACTGAATGGATTAGCCCCACAATACATTTCAGATCTATTAGTTCCGTATTCAGCCCACCGGTCACTTAGGTCATCCTCACAACAGCTCCCCTCAGTTCCTCATTCACGCCTCAAAACCAAAGGTACCCAGCCTTTCTCTGTTGCTGCCCCTAGTGTCACGTCCAGCTCCGTCCGATCCTCGTGTGTGCCACGCCCACCTCGTTACCTCCTGTTTCTGCCTGATTGTTCTCACCTGTTGCTCGTTACCCTCAGCTTGTCTTGTGTATTTAGTCCACGTCTCGGTTAGTTTCCCCAGTTCTATCATTGATGTTGTCCTGCGTAGTGCCTGGTCTTGTCCTTGTCTGCCCGTCTGTGACCAATAAAACCACGTTTATTGGACTTCACGGCTCTGCTTGCCTGCTTCCCCGTTCGCCTGCATGCCGTACGTGACACCTAAACTTTAGAATAGTCTCCCGTCCTACATAAACTCCTGCTTTTCTATTGATGAGTTTAAGTCTAAATTAAAGACCCACCTATTTTTTTCTTGCTTTCAACTCAGTCTGAGGTTCTCCCCGTATTTTGTCAAGTCCACTATTGTTACTTTTAATGTCTTTTTAGTAACTTTAGTATTTTTTTCTAATTACCCTCTTACTGTTTTTCTGTTGCTTGTTTTACATTTCCTTAATTAGAATTTTTATTTTCATCTTATTTATTTACTTAATCTTCTTATTTCATGTATGCACATTTTCATGTTATTTTATTTTAATATTTTATATTTCATCGCTACTCATGTTATTTTATTTCTGCATTTTACTATGCATGCACTATTCGTCAATTAGCTCTTTCTAAGCTGGAAAGCGCTTTGGGTCAACTCCTGTTGCTTATAAATGTGCTATATAAATAAATGACTTGACTTGACTTCCTGCTTATTGGTGATGTTGCTGACTCTGCTGAGTCGGATTAACGAACCAAATCCATGACTATGCAGATCTGAATCAGGAATCTGTCTCCGTAAAGGGTGTGATAAATGCATTGGTATACTCCTGCAGGTGCTACACATTAGCCTGTAGTTCAGCTAGTTTATTCCACAGTGAACACACATTTCCAAGGATAACTGATGGAAGGGATCTCCTTCTTGTGTTTTTTTTTTAGTTGATGCCTCAAACCGACTTTCCTCCTTCTCCTCCTCTTAGTATGCTTGTTTGTGTCAGCTGTATACAGCTTTTCCCCTTGTAATATCTCAGATGGTATATCGAAGTTCATATTTGCAGTACAGTATGTCTCCAAAACCGCTGTATTGCAAGCTTAGAATGAAATCACGGTTTAACATCCGTGGCCATGTTCTTTGGTGTTGGTCATTTTCCCATTTGAACTGTGGGTACAGCCAGGTCCACACAATGAGTGTAATGAGGCGCAGTTTGAAGACATCCATCATCTTCAGTTACACCTAGACCAAAGTCTCGCGGGCCATTAAACGCATTGAATAAACATGTAATCACTCGCACAACATCACAGCAGGACAGTAACAGTAAAACTTGCAAAACATAAAACAGCAAAATGTCAAGGAATAGTCCATTAAAGTCCAAAAATGAGACGTGTGCAAATCAAAGCAGTTTTGACTCTGGGTTCTTTGACTTAAAGTAAACCAAGTCCTTGTCCACAAAAAAGAAATAATAATAATAACACATTATTGATCCTTGTGGGCAGATTCTTTTTGCGCCTCCCCCATCTTGCTCTCTATGATACACAGACACATATACAGGTGAGAACAAGCTTGGCAGTGAAGGGCAGCCACCTATAGCAGCGCAGATGGAGCTGGGGGATAAGGGCCTTGCTCAAAGGCCCACAGATGTGACTATTTTGCTGAGGTCAGGCCCAAACTGGCGACAAAGGCTTAGCCCGCTGAACCACACACTCTCCCCAATACTGGCGAACAAGTGACTTATCTTGCCTGATGGTTGAACTCACATTTTAAATGGTTAAACACGGTTAATCACTCTCCTTTGCATACTGTCTCACACACACACAGTTGAGAGTAAAGCTTGTGGTCCCAGTGCACAGTAAAGTCATTTATGCTGCAACCCTGAAGCAGTACGTGTGATAAATTTCGCCAAATGAAAATACCACAGTTAAAAGAAAATATTATTACGAGCCCACCGTACACACTCTCCCCATGTCCACAAAAAATGATACAATTAAATTCTCCCACAGTAAATTTTGTCGAGCTCCCCATGATACGTATCACTGACTGCCTACTGCTCTGCTACAGATAAATGGGGAAGCTAGTGACCAACAATCAATATTAACTTTATCACAGAATATTCAGAGAATCATCCTGCATCCCACAGTTTTAAAATTACCCACCTGTACAGAGATCCATGAAATAAGATCAAATGGCAGATCAGTGTGTACAAGATGGGGGCTGCAGGTTCTGTTTTCACTCTCAACTGCCTTCTGCTGTAGTTCCAATTTTGCTGCCCTCTGTCATTACAAGTACAATTTTGGATCTGATCGCGTGTACATTTTTAGGTGTAGATTTTCATCCTGCTGCAATGAGTTGGCACCCCATCCTGGGTTGTTCCCAGGAGGGGCCCCAGAAACCCTACGACCCTGAATAAGACAAGCGGTTTCAGAAAAAGCATGGATGGCTAAAATTTTTGTGATGTGGTAATAAGATTCATCAAAAATCAAACAGGATAAATTATGAAATATTGACAAATAGATCGATCCTGTTCATCTCATACAGTACTTCTCTTTTCTGTCACTAAGTTCTGATGCTTCAATTTTGGTGCAATTTGTCTTAACATTTCAACAAATCCAGATCTTCACCCATACAATGTGAATGCAAAAGGTCGGCCGAATAACTTGTGCATTGTCATGCTAAAATAATCAAGTGTGTGAGCTGGCCTTCTCTTTGCAATCACTATGCAATGCTGCTCCAATCTTGGTGTGATTTGTCTCAAAATATGATTAGGGCAGATCTTCAACATTACAACATGTCTGGAAAGGTTGAAAAATATCTGTCAAATAATTTTTGAGTTATCGTGCTAACAGGATCAAATATCTGAAACCCTTTTCACTAAGCAGTGCTCCTTCAGTTTTGAGCTGATCGGTCTCAAAATTGGATAACTTCTGGTTTGTAATGCCTACAGTGTGCCTGCAGACTTTAAAAAATCCATACAATACTTTTAGTGTTACAGTGTTCACAAAACTAAATACATCTTCTATTGCTGTCATTTCCATCCTTTAATACCACACAGTGCTTCGGCTTCATTTTTGGGGCTTAATAGGATCCATCAAATACTATTTGACTTATTAAATTCACAAGGTCAAATGTCATCCGCTTTCACCCTTCCCGGTTATTGACATATTGTCTAAATGGGATCAAGTGTGAAAACTTCTTGGCTATCAGTATGTGGTGCTGCTTCAATTTTTGGGCGATCTGTCTCAAAATTTAAATTGTTTTAGTTCCTCACCAGATACAATGCCCATGGAAAGTTTGATAAAGATCTATCAAATGGTTTTTGAGTTATTGCCTCCATACTAAAGATTCTAACCAGAGCTAAACCAGAAGGCCAGGGAGCACAATAATGCTATACTTTCCTGGTATTCTTCCTCCACTAGGGGATGAACTCTCTGCATATTGTGCCTGACTAGAGATAAAGGTAAATATTTATTTACCATCATGACTGCCTGCTTGTTTTCTATTAGCTCTCCTTCATTGTGAAATCAGCTCATTTTGGTCCACTGTTCCAGTATCACTTAGTTAAAAGCCTTTGATCAATGACCTGGTTGAGATGAAATCATTGTCCACTTTAATGACTATTCACTTGTCATATTAACTGATTATCTGTGCCAAAGTGTATGTGCAAATATTGTTTGGACCCTTGACCACTTGAGTAGTATTACAAACAAATGTTTTGTAGCCGCAAAGAAGACAGTATATGTTCTGTCGATTACTTGAATTTTGTCCTAAGACATTACAAAGGCGAAAGTAATGCCCTGCTAACTGATTAATATTTATTAATTTATTTCATTATTTGTCTTTGTTGTTAAATGTCTTGGAAATTAAATATCAAATATCAAATTAAATATCAGTTTTATACTTCATACTAGAAAGTAAAACATTATTATTCAGATCTAGATCTTAGACAGTTAAAGGTTATTCTTAAGAAATAAATCTATTGTCAAGTATTAATCATACTTAACACTATTGTTTAAGTAAATCTAGGTTGAAAATTAAATAGTAATTAACTCAGTTTAACATAAACTCGAATAGAATTAATACTACTTTAAAGTTGTCTTCAAGAAGAAATGGTTAATCCAGTTCCTAATTTTCTAAGTACAGTTGTTTCAAGACGGTTGAAATTCAGGTAGCTTTGTGTAAACACTGTGAGAGTCTCTGTGGGAGTTATGTTGTGGGTGGGGTTCACTAGTTTCCGTGTTGAGAAAAAACTCATTTGATTAGATGGATGATAAATTAAATACAATTCAATCAAACATGTTACTGAACATGAACCATGGTTTAAATTTGGATGCCTCTGCATAGTGGAGCCTGAGTCTCTTTAGAGACCAAACCCAACAAATACAACATGATGTAACAAAAGGAGCTGTGTTCCGTGTCTGGATGTATTTGTCAAAGCCCAGTATTTAAACATCATGCAAATGCATTACAGGGCTCTTATATTGCTGTAGTTACACCCACACTGGTTTATTTCAAAGGCATCCTATTGGCTGGAATTATTGACTTGGCAGTGTGTCACTTTATTGGCTTGTGCTGTGTGTTTTGGCAAGTGTAAATGAATCCATAATGTAAACTTCTGCAGGCTTACGTAATCTCCGATGAAGCACGTCTGCTCATACACCTTTTGAGGTGGAGAAACCCTTACCTCTTATGTTTATTATTTAATTATTACCAAATAGTTTGCATTTTTTTTTTTATTATTCCTGTCTTCCTAGGGTAGAAGCAGAAATACCATAAATACCAGATATGTGGTGCCTCTGATGTTACCACAATAAATGGCCATATATTTGCATATTCCATTCTTCAGAATAGACAAAACAGCTCAATACTCTATTGACACAAACCACACTTACAAATTTTTGCCTTTTGGGTTGTTATGCTCACTGTTGTGCTCAAATTTCACCATAGTCTTTTCCGAGTCAAGACTGTCTTTAACAAATCAAATCCGTGTCAAGACCAAGTCCAATAGGGGGTGAGTCTGGTCAAAAACCATAAATTGAAGACTAAACACCTAATTAAACACCTCAAAAAAAATATATTCATTTTTAATAATTTGTAAATATTTATTAAAAAAATAGAAAAAAAAAATATTTGTAATTAATAAATAAATCATTTATCAAACACAAAGGTAACAGAAACACACCTCCACTGTATCTTGGATTAATAATTAATTTCATTCTAACATGGCTGTATCATGCTGAACACATTTGGTTCTGGAGCCAAAAAATACACATAACACAGTTCCTTTAAAAGTTCATTTAAAAGGCTTTTTAACTTTCTATTAAATTTCTATTAAATCTATTAAATTTAACTTTCTATTAAACATTCACATAATGTAGCTAAAAATAAAGTGCACATTCCTTATGCACTGTTCGGTACATCATTTTCGGTTCAATTCAATTTATTTTTATATAGCACCTTTTCACAACAGAGTCACCCCAAGGTGCTTTACATGGGTGTGTTATAATACATTACAACATCATTAAGAGAGAATTATACAAAAACAGGGGAAAGGAAAGATAAAGGAATGAAATGAAAGAAAGAGAGCCAGATGATAATGGAGGAGAGGAACCAAAAACTCCAAAGTTGAGAGAAAGAAACCTCTGGGGGTCCAAGGTCACCTGGCTGCCCCCCCCCCAGGCATGATAAGATTATAAAAAAGAAAGAATTGGCTTACTTGTTAAAATCAAAGTGCAAACTGTGATCAAGATCAAAGCCAAAGTCCATCAATGAGTCGATTCTCCTTGCCAATCTGTAGGGTGGCAGACTGAAGGCTGTACCCATGATGTTACAGTTCATAAGTCATGTCCACAATATCACTCATCTGTGGGACTGATCCAGCACTCCAGCTCAGACGGTGCCCACCCCCGGCACCCTCCAGACATGTGGGAAGAAAGGCAGAGATCATGGGTGGTCAGAACATGCATAGTCACATTAATGGATAAGCACAGTAGATAAAAATAGCATGTACAGCAGCACCAGAAGCCATAGTTACAGCATGTTATGTGTTAGGTTGTGGGCAAGCTAAACTGAAGTAATAGGTCTTCAGTCAAGATTGAAAGACTGAGACCAATTCGGCATCCTGAACATTGGCTGGCAAACCATTCTGTGATTTGAGTGGATGATATGGCTTGTAAACATGAAGTAATTCTGTTAGGTAGGCAGGTGCTAGACCTTTAAGTGCTTTATATGTAAGTAGGAGAAATTTGAAGCTATTTTCAGTTCAGTATGCACAATGAATCAAAACAATACATGTATTGACATGGATAGAACGTAAATTCAGAAGTTGATGATCAGCATGGAAAACATTATGTTAATTGTGGCTGAGAGTTGGCCATGACCAGTGCTGGCCACAGTCAATCATAAGTTTGGGAACATTTTGGTTTCCCAATTAAGTACACCAGCACTGTATATTTACAGCATCTAGAAGGCACTCTTATCCAAAGCGACTTACATATTTTCTAAATTCAGGGACAGTCCCCCTGGAGCAAGTTGGGGTTAAGGGTCTTGCTTAGGGACCCAATGATGGTAGAGTCAGAACTCAAACCTGTGATCTCCAGAGGCAAGCATCCTAACCACCAGACCACCAATACCACAATGCTGTAGAGAGAGTCGTTGATAAGAACAGTGATCTCATTTATCATAATGTGCTTAGAAGAGGTCTTAAATGTGTATGTATGAATCGCCAGAACACACAGGCAAATTGGTATTTATCCCTCATGCATAGCCCTCCATGAATCGCCATCTATCTTTTCACGGTGGAGGGGTTTGTGCGCCTCTGTCATTCTTGAAGCTATATGGTTGGGGACAATTGCCCCTGCTAGGGTCTCCCAAAGCAAATTGGTCATAGGTGAGCGGCCAGACAAAGTGAGATTGACCTCTAAGGATGAATAACATAAAGGACTATGTGGCCCTGCTCTTGAGCAAGGCCTGGGTGGGGGAGGTTGTATGTGAGCAGCTGGTGGTTGGGTATCTAGCAGGGTGGGCCATGGCAGTCGGGTGCAATGTAGATTGGATGGTAGTCAAAAGCAGGGGCCTTGGTGGACCAATCATTGGCTACCAAACCTGGGTCAAGGAATAGGGAATATAACCTATCTGGTTGGCAAAGGAGCCTGAGTTGGTGTGGACGGTAGAGAGTGAGATACTGCTTAGATAATGTTGGGCTCAGCACAGGCCCTGAAACCAAACTCTTGGAGAGGGGCTGGACTGTATTCCACTCTGAAGTTGTCCCAGGTGAGAGAC